TCTTAGATTCAGAACATTTTTGAGCTGAAGGGGATCTTAGCGATCACTGGGTCCAACTTGGTGTGTTGTCAGAGGGAGCCTCGGAAACTTGAGGTCACAGGCTCAGTGGCTGACACTCGGGGGGGTCACAGGACCCGAGCCGGCAGGACCTGAGCAGATAAGAGCGACCAAGCAGGGAGCTGAAGGCCTGGAGAGCAGAGGGCCGCCGGGAGAGCTGGGGGGTGGGGGGGGCATGCCTACATCTGCCAGGTTCCCGCGAGATGCCATAAATCATCCAAATTGTTCAGTGATGTGGTCTGTAGACACCAAAACCATTTGGAAATGCTGTTCAGATCAAAACTCATGCACACGCTCACACACACATACAAACATGCACACTCGCTCACACAGGCTTATAAGCACACACATGCTCACGCACAAGTGCACACACTTGCAAGCCAGGTCCACGCCGGTCCACGCCATGGTCAATCCCCCACAGGCACTCCACGTGACCAGACAGGACTCCGAACCATGGGTGTTGTTTTAACAGGGGTATTAAGTGCCTACAGAGGAAAGGCTGATTTATTTCCCACCTAAATATGCCTTCTTTCACTTACGAGGACCAGAATGGCTTTTCTGACAACAGGATGTGAACTCACTTATCCCAATGCCTTAACTATGACTTTTAGTTTATTTACTGTCGTCAAACACATTCCTACCCTTCTTTGTAACATGTGGGTTTTTTCTCTCTACCTTTAACAATCTAATACTGAGTGAGGCTACGTATTTCCCTCCACTCCAAGCAGCCCCTTAGGGTTCCCTTTGCTCTTGGAGTTTTTAGTACATACACTTCATTTTCTCATTCAAATACAAATGGGATTCCAGTTACAATGTAAGACTATCCATGATACAACGTCTTTGTTCACGTCCCGTCCGCATTACTAAAATGTCATTTAAATAATAAAACACAGGGGAAAAAATAGGTAAGTAAGTAAATAAAAAAATACAAATAAATTAATTAAGTAAATAATAAAATATGAATTTTAAACACTGAGAGTCTCCTGGAACATAAACAGATTCTACTTCGCAGAGTCCCCAGTTAAACCATAGGCCCAGACTGGTGAGTCCTGGACACTAGCTGTCTCATCTCATTTCACAACCAACTACAGTGACAACCACCGTCCCCCGAAAACAGTCGAGGACCAGGCTTCCGAAGTGGGCGGGATCTACCCCCCCCAACAGAAGGCCACATTCACACTTTGTCCTCACCCTTCATGAATAAACATGCCTTTATTCAAATAAGTTATCTACTAACTAACTCCAGTAATTCTGATTCAACTTTGAATGGCAAATAGAGTCATTCTGGCAAGACTGCAGAGTTTGCAATTCAAATGACGGAAGTCTTAATAACGGAGAAAATAAAAATTAGTGGTGTGATTCCTCAGGAACAGCAATTCCAATACTTTTATGGCAACAGCAGAAAGCGCACATAAATATTTCTCAATTTATAAGCCAGGGGGAGAGGGGTTGTTAGGATGAGCATATTCAAACATATTCACCTGCAGTCTTATCAGAGAATTCTGTTTGGGGACCGGTAGCCACCTGCTGCAACGCCAGAGTGACCCCAACCCCAGACACGAAGAGGTGATGTGCCTTCTTCTCAATAAATAACAGTGAAACTGTCACTGGATTAAATGATTTCCTTACATTATCACCATAAACAATAATTATTTGGCAGCTGCCCTTTGCAAGCGTGCCTGCGCTTATGAATAAATCAAGCCGTATTCATTTCCCAAGCCCAAGCGGTTCACATGTGGCTCCCCTAATACACGCTACGATCCTCCGGTGCACTTAGGGGTGCGTTCATGCACTGTGCTTCTTAACACTTTTAATATGAAAGATCAGTGCTGATCAGCCCCGGAGTAGGAACACCGCTGTGTGAACGGCCCACTGGTCACGAAACCCAGGTCTGCCGAACATGTCTCCAGTAAGGCCGTTCTCTGCTGCTCAGCAGAGTCCCATCTTAACGAAATACAGTGGGGCTGCCACTGCTTCCTTCCCCATGACATGAACGGAGTGATGACGGCCAGCGTTGATTCAAAGATGAAATTCATTTACAAGGGCCGGGCAGGAAAATACAGGACTGCAAAGGATGCTTCGAGCTTGGTAAAATATCACCTAAAATTGTTTTAAATGACTCTCTTCCAGGGCAGTGAGTTCACAAGACCTAACACTACCTGGAGAATCCCAGAGCCACCGGCAAGATGCTGAGCACTGCACTGTGACCAGGAGAGGCAGTCCTGCAGACGGCCTTCTCCCGTCAGTGAGCAAAGTCATCCCGAGTCCAGCCCTCGCTCGGGCCAGTGGTATTCTGAGGCTCAGCGACTGATGACTTCCAGTCCTCTGGGTTCCATTGGGGAACCAGCGTCTACAATTCCGTACTGAGTAAAATTCTATCCACTGCAGTCAACAAAGAACCCAGGCACTCATCATCATTCCCCGATCTAGTTTGCAGCCAAATCCACTGAAACTACACCATCCCCAAGAGTGACAAAGAAACGTGACTTCTGTGCTTCGTACAGACCCCTGGGCTAGATTTCGATCCATCCTCATTCCAAAACAAACTCCATTCCTCACGCGTGTAACAGGAAAAGTAGCAGCCGCTCTTTCCTTTCCAAGGATCACAAACCAAGGCAGGTCAGACTGGAAAGTTCTTTAGAGATTAGATACTATCACCTCCTTATTTCAAAGATGAGAAAATTGAGAGGGGACTCACCCAGGAGGCAAGAAAAGAACCCTTACCTTCTGCCTCCAGCTGCCATGTTTCCGCTTTAGACCACCCCCTGATTCTTGGATCAGTAAGAAAAATCTATCACCAAAGAGTATCCCAAACAAACATACAAGATGTGGGGGGCTGCTTTCATGCGTGTTAATAGTCTGCGATGCCTTTTAAGTTTAATCACGGGAAAGATCGACCAGGTACCGTGGCAGGGTTTACAATGCTACGGGCTCTCTGAAGACAGAAAGCCACACCAACAGGAATCCTTGTTCCAACACAGATTCGACGACTCCCTCTGGAACAGCTGCCACCTCTGGCTACAAAGCAATAACTATCCTGCACTCTAGCAATCAATAAAGCCCTCTGCCCCAGGAACCTGCTACTTCCTGACTTTGTTCTCCACACTAAAGATTTCCAAGCCAGATCGATCACCTACTAAATTTTTTTAAAGTTCTTTCAAACGAGCCATAAAGAGATCCTCAAATTAGCATAACTTGCGATTGTCTGAACAGGCTTCTCATCTTTCAATTGCATTAATGGCTTCTCTTTTCATGGGGTTTCCCCATTTTTCATTTTCAATTTGTCATTTTAAGTGTGTCTGTGTCTTGCCTAATAGCACAAAGCCAGCAGGATACAAATTTGATGGTGTTTCCGAAACTGTGACTTCCACCACGTTTTTCATCCAAGCGAGAAAGAAGAATTGATTAATCAACTACGCCCGCTTTTCTCAAGCAACAGCATGGATTTTTTTTTTTTTTTTAGCCAAATGAATCCATTAGCTCCTAAAGTGTTACAATTCAGGACCCTGGAACTTCTCTCTAAAACGACCCATGAGAGGGTCTATTATAAAATGAGACCATCTTCCATCGTCTCAAGGACATTTAAGAAAGTGTCAGATTTAAGAGCAAGTCACGAATGAGACACGCAAGGACAGCAAAAAGGCAAGGTGGCAAGTCAGCAGCAGGGTCTGCCCCCCGGGCCCCCTCCACGCCCCCCAGTGTGCACTGCCCCTGGGACTGACCCACGTCTGCACCCTCAGAACTGGCAAATGGGAACGTGTCTCATTCTCTAAAAGTGCTATCAGCTAAAAAAGTGGTACAAATGAACTTACTCACAAACCAGAAACAGACTCACAGACATAGAAAACATACTTACGGTTATCAAAAGGGAAAGGGAGTGGGGGATAAATTAGGAGTTTGACATAAGCAGATACAAATTACCGTATATAAAACAGATAAAGAAGGTCCTACTGTAGAGGACAGGGAACTATAGTCAATTTCTTTTTTCCCCATTCATGAAGGACCGTCAAATGTGCTCACACATATTCAAGAAGTCAATCGTCTAAGCTATAAATAGTAAGTAGTTCATTTGTGTCCTTTTTTTTAAGATTCCACATCTCAGCCAGTATCATACGGTATTTTTCTTTCTCTTTCTCTCTTACTTCACTCAGAATGACAATCACCTTTTCCAAGACATGGAAACAACTCAAATGTCCATCAACAGATGGGTGGATATAGAAAATGTGACACACACACATAGGCACGTGTGCACACGTGCACAATGAATACTACTCAGCCACAAGAAAGAATAAAATAATGCCACTTGCAGCAACATGGATGGACCTGGGGATTGTTACAGTCAATTTCTTATAGTATAGAGGTATAATGGGAAAAAATCAGAAAATATATGCATATATATATGTAAACATAAAACCAAATTGCTTTGCTGTGCCCCTGAAACTAAACTTGTAAATCAACTACACTTCAATAAAAATAAATTTAAAAAAATCTGTTTGGTTTTCTATGTGCTTCCCACCCTGACAGTCCTCCCACAAGGAGACAGATTAAAAGTCATTAGAGAAGCCTGTTTCCGGTGCTCTAGAGCACTGCTCAGAATGTCAAGTCTCTAAAGCAACAGACAAGCAAGAGAACCCATCACCAAAGGGAGAACAGGACCCCCATCTCAGGCATCGCTTCAGCCTCCCTTTCCTTCCTCCAAAACCCACAGGAGGAAGAGGCTCGAAAGCCCCAAGGCCACGGTGGGTTTGACTGTCAGGTTCAGCTCCAAATCTGAAAATGCACCCGTCACCCCCTGACTCGGGTGCCCTAAGGCGAATAACGCCACTCAAGAAGCAACCTTGAACGCGCTGGACCATCCTGGTAAACCAGTTATCAAACCCCCACAAGACTCTTCTCTACGAGCATCACGGCGGAGGGCCGAGAGGTGGCCAGCCTGTGCTCACCGTCCGGGGGCATCAGGGTCTTGTTGTTCTGCGTGCACCACCCCACGGGGTGGAGATCCGCTATCACCACGTCACACCAGAAGTCGGCGCGCCGGTCCTCCCCATAGCCACAGTAGCGCAGAAGCAGGAGCTGCCCGCAGGTGGTGATGACCGTGGCCACCCAGTACGTGTCCGGGTTCTTCTTGTTGGCGACTTCCAATTTCATCCCCGGCTGGAAGTTGTTCTGAATGCTGATCTCAACCTTAAGGAACCAGAAACACAGGAAATCCAGTATCACACTTGACACACAGCCCTCCAGGAGATTAAGAGAACTACCAGAAACACAGCACTTGACATTTCTGTTGCCCACCTCCAGCCCTGTCTAAGAGAAATATAATGAGAGCCACTGGCGTGACGTTCAATTGCCCAGTGGCCACTTTAAAAAAAGAAAGAAAAGAGAGAAAATTAATAATGAATTTTATTTAACCCAGGAGATCCCAAACAGCATCATTTCAAGATGTCTTCACTATAAACAAGTAGTAATGATACATTTTAGATCTTTCTTTTCCAACAAAGCCATCTTGTTACCAAAGAGAACTCGGGTCCGCTCGCCAGATGTGCAGCAAAGCCGATCTACTGACACTGGCTTGTGGGGAAGGAAAGCAGTGTTTATTGCAGGCGACAAACAAGGAGAACAGGCAGCTGGTGTTCAACAGACCCAAGCTCATGGATGGCCTTCAGGGAAGGATTTTTAAAGGCAAGGTTAGAGGTGTGAGTCCAGGGCGCAGAGCCCTCTGACTGGCTGGTGGCAAAGTAACCGGGTGAACCTTCTGGTTCCATCCAGTCTGGGGTCTATGGGCTGGGGGCTGGCTTGCAGTTAACTTCCTCCACCTGGTGGGGGTTTAGTGTGTACAAGATAACTCAGCGATACAGCTCAGGGTATTATCTATTGCCCTTGGGGAAAACTAAGGGTCCTTGACTTTGTTTTATGGCTGAACTATCATTATTTTGTCTGGCGTGGCCGCCTTCCCGGTTCTGCTTGTTCGCACTTCGCTGATGGAATCTGCTCTCTGTAACTCGGGGAAGGCCTTAGGGGGCTGACACTTTTCTACAGACAAGGGGCCGGGGACACGGGAGGGTCTCTCCCCAGGAGAGCCCTGCAGGGTCTTGCTCAGTTTCAGTCTCAATTTGGACGGGACCCTTTCCAAGTGCTGGATGGCTCCACGTGGCCAACAGCTACTGTGTGAACAGAGCAGCCTCAGATTTTCTTTTTTTAAAAATAAGGGTTGTAATCTATTCATATTTGACAGCCCTCCCTGCAAAAGCAAGCTTTCCAGCCTGGTGAGTGGTAGCATTCTAAAGCTAACACATCTGATGTCCGTGAGCAGCAGCCACTTTAGGGACAATGGGATTATAAACTGTGGGTCCAGGGGTCCAGGGCTGCTCTCCCTTTAAGCCTGGAGGGCAGGCCTGGGGACGTTCTGCACCCACAGGATCGGACACTGTACTAGGACTGAAACGGAGGCAGGAGAGCTAGCTGGATGAAAGAGAACAGGAATGACCCCGTACGGAGAGAGATCAGTCACTCTGTGGTACAGAGAAGAAGAAACTGTTGGTCAGTATCTGGTCCCTAAACTGCCTGGAGAAATCTAACCAGGTGGTTCCAGCATCGTGAAAGGCAAACGTCACCATGGCTTTGGCAAAGCAGAATCCACGCTGATGCCCGGTGAGCTTTATAATATTCAGCTCGGGGGTTCACTAAATGGCCACAACCGCATTCCTAATAAACCAGTAATGGCAACATTACGAGTGTCAGTGTAAAACAGGAACTGGGAGCGCGGTCGACCTTTAACGAGGTCATGCAAATTTAGTAAGGTCTTAAATTCCTTTTCAAAAGAACACTTCATCTCCAAAAAGAATAAAAGGTCGCATTAAAAGAGAGAACATTCGGGCTTCATAACCCAACAAAAGAGCCAGAAGGAAGCCCAGGTTGAGAAAGTGCCCCCACTTTGCTCATGATAATTCAGGCTCAATCTCCGCCTTGGGAAGTCCAGGGGAGGAAGAAAACGTTTCTCATTATTAAATTGTCGTTTCCAGCAAAGCAGTAGTAGTACCTAGGAACTTAGGTCCTGGAAACGTAGGCCTCTTCTTGCTAATGGAATATTACCAAAATCTCACGTCTCAGCAAAAATCTGATAAAAACTTGACTTTTTTAAAATTTCCTGGAACTTGCCCTCTGCTTGGCAGACTATTTGCATTGTTTAAAGAAACAGCACTGATGAGGATGATTTTTTTGGTTTGACCCAAGTGTCTTCTGAGTATTTATGGTTATTTCCTGTAATCTGACTCATATGCCCACAAATGGCTGCAACTCTTTGAGGTGTCCTTTCAAATAAAATTATCAATTCAACATTAAAATACACAGCTCCTGACACCTCCTAAGAAGACATTACACACGTCACTTCCTTGCCTAGTTGGCTGGCTTTTTATTTCTTTGCATCAACCTTACCTGGGTCAGGCTGTGCTCCCTCAGACAGCAGGGAACACGTCTTTCTAACCTGGCTTTTTGAGGCGTAAGACAACGTTCAGACTGCAGGTCATTTCTCACACTGAGCATCCACCTGGGTCCCAGCCCCGGATGAGAGGAAGGCCCACCTTACCTGCAGCTCCCTGTGAAATCAAACTCACTTCCAATCTCCTCCATATTTCTAGCAACCTTGGCCACAGTTCTCTTTTCTTTTCATTCCCTTTCTTCCAAGAGGTTTGGCATCCTCCTGCACCCATCCCACCCCTCCCCACGCAGATCAGAAGGCGCAGGGACGTCACCTACATGTTTGAACGATGTGTGAGGAGCCGCACTGGCACCAGTCTCTTCCAAATACTCTCCCCAGTTAAAGCCGACTTCCTCCAGGCTTGAGCCTTCTTCTGTTGAGCAAAAAAAACAAACAAAAAAGGAGAAGCATGTCAATACTAGCACGAAGAATGGGGGGAAAAAAGAATGCAAAGGCATTGCCCTTCCATGAAAACCAGAAAATCCTTCATGCAAGAAGGAAACAACTCCATGGTGTAGAAGGCCACTGCTGGATTCTTGGCAAAGCTTCCCTTTGCTGATTTTACAGACAGGTGACTCAAGAAAGACATGGAAACACCTGTGTCCATCAACAGACGACTGGAGAAACGAGGGGTGGTATATATACGATGGAATACTACTCAGCCATAAAAAAGAACAAAATACTGCCATTTGCAGCAGCATGAATGGATCTAGATATGATCACACTAAGTGAAGTTAGTTAGACCAAGATAAATACATGATGTCAATTAATAAGCGGAATTTTAAAAAAATAACACAAATGAACTTATTCACAAGACAGAAACAGATTCACGGACATAGAAAACAAACTATGGTTACCAAAGGGGAAAGGGGATGGAGGGAGGGATAAATTAGGAGTTTGGGATTAACAGATACAGACTACTATAAATAAAATAGATAAACAAGGTCCTACTCTACAGCACAGGGAACTATACTCAATATCCTGTAATAAACCATAATGGAAAAGAATATGAAAAAGAATATGTGTATTTTATGTACAAGAGTCATTCTGCTGTACACCTGAAACTAACACAATATTGCAAATCAACTCTACTTCAATATAATAACTAATGAATTAAACTGTGCATAGTAAAAGCCATTTTCTTTTCATATTCTATCTAGTCTCAGCAACTGACAGAGGAGGATAATTTTTGTAGCATCAGAAGATGCTAAACTGAGAGGCGGTTACCTTCAACTCTGTCTTCTAAAGCCAAGTGGCTAAGAACTTCCCCCTCCAACTTGACTTCAATAAAGTGGTTTATAATTAAATGTCTGAGAACCAAAAAAAGCCATCTACAGAGAAAACCCTTCCCTCGTAGCTCTTCCAGCATGTGAGTCACCCAGGGATCGCGTCCTTCCATCAGAAACCTGCTCCCTGGAGAGAGCCCCTGGGTCCTGCAGCCACCAGCTACCAAGGGTTGCAAGGCAGGTTTCCAGCTGCTAAAAGTCAGGGCAGCAAACCCAAAGAGAAGGCAGTCATTCTAGAAACCCCCGCAGGGTGGTACCCAATGCTCTGCCCACAATTCTGTTCCCCCAAACAGCACCGGGCATCAATTACCAAGTCTGTTTCCTGATCCACTAGCCAGAGGCACCAACGCAGCACCGTTTATTTGCCAAGGCAGCCTGGTGTGCTATCTGCCGGGTAGCTAACTTGTCGCAGAGAAAGTCGCTAATTTCTTCACACCCTTCCTGTCCAGGCTCAGCTCAGACCAAGCCTCCCGTGGGCCCCGCTGCTCCAGCCTTTGTCAGGCACTTCTGACTCCACCAAGAGACCACACGCCATCACAGCGATGCTGTGAGAACTCTGCTGTCTTGGGGTAACAGCTCTCTGCTAACTGCTTCATGTCACCTCATTTAATCCTGACACATGGACACTCAAGGGAGTCACCAGGGTCCCATGGCTGGCCAGCCGCAGAGGCAGGTGTCCCACGGAGGCTGGCTGATGTGGAAGCTGGGACTTTTCCGAGGTGCCTCGTCAGGTCACTCCTCTGCCTGGAGCAGGCATCAGGCACCCCCACCCCACCACCACCACCCGTTTCTCCGCCTGGAGAATCCACAGCAGCCTACAGGCCAACGTATCCGTCCCTCTATGCCGGGGAGCGCTGACACCTAGCATCTCGTCAGGCAGTGAGAAGATGCAGGAGGCAGAGTGGGCGGGAGGCAGCAGCCACCCTCAGGGAGAACAGAACGGGCAGGGCTTCAGGAGCCTGTCTGCAGAGGAGGAGAGGGCTGCGGAGAAGACAGGGGCATATACTCGGCCCCAAGCCCATGTTTTCTGAGAATCACGGCTGCTGAAAACGGAACGGGCTCCTCTGAATCAGAAACAGGTCGAGACCAAGCCTTTGGGAACTGCCGGTTGCAGTCAGTGTGTGGATCAGGAGGCCCAGATGAACCTTCCCACGACTGGAAAAGACCCTCACTCAGTGGTGAGGCTAAGACCACAGCTTAAAATCCCCAACTTCAGCTTTGAGACCAACCATCCGAGTTCTCTGTCCTCTATACAATTCTCACCTACACTATGCCCCCAAATTTTATGTGCACCCAATTTTAATTCATGACAAACTACGTTTCCAGTGTCCTCTCCCAATCAGACTGTAGAAGCTTTCGTGACAAGGTACACTGTGACCTCCACGTGCGAGGCAGTAAGGTCAGTGTTTAAGTTCCATTGCTCTCTGCCGTCTACACAGATACTTTAAAAAGGACCGAAAAGTCAGACCTCGAATGGGATTTAAAAAATTAAAACCAAGGGGGAGGATATAGCTCAAGTGGTAGAGCGCGTGCTTAGCATACACGAGGTCCAGGGTTCAATCCCCAGCACCTCCTCCAAAAATAAACAAATAAGTAAACCCAACAACTACCCCCCTAAAAAGGTTTTAAAAATAAAAAATAAGTTAAAACCTTTATGCCCAGTGCTGTTAACTTGAAGCACGCTGTTCTAACAACAAACTCATACATAAAATTGAGGGTTACTCAAAATTGGGCCTTTTGGAACCTGCCAGTATCTGTAACATAAAACACTTCCTCCAGCACCTGTGCCCTGAGCAGCTGATTCTTCGAAGACATTTGAATGAGCAACAGATAAGCACACCATGTTTACAAGTGGAGGGTTCATAAACCCAGAGCAAATATTTACAGCTGACGCACAAACCTCTTAAACCCACAAACATTTTATCAAGGAAATTCTGACAGCCTCCACTCTCTGCCTAGGACCCAGTGGAGGCATTTCCCCAGGATGTAATGCAAACAGTCAATGGAAAGCTACAAAGGCAATTTCACAAACTGAAAGAAGGCAGAAGTGTTCGCTAGTGCGATCCAATTCTAGAACACAGAAAAGCTGCTCGTGTGACCCGGAACAGTTCATAATAACTAGAAAAAGAACACGCTACTGAAAGAGGGAGTGTGGGAGTGGAACCGAGCCAGGACCCACTGCTTTCTTTGAAACAATCAAATCTTGGGGTGTAGAACCTCACAGTCTGAAATAATAAGACAAACTTTGCAGGGGAGGATGTTCAACACGGAACCACCAGCCCGTCAAAGAATCAGCAGGCTCAGGATGAATGAAACCTTACAGGCCACCTCCTTGTGGGCTAGATAATTTTTTTAAGGGGAAAGAAAGGAAGAAGACATCAAATCTTTGTTATCTGAGCTGCTGACAGTCAGTTCATAGTATCACAAGGTTTAGAGAACGGTTCCACTGGGAATGTCTCAGACACGCGGGAGGAATGAAACTCAGAAAGGACTGGCCAACCTCAACCCCAGATCTGAGGTCACAGCTGCAGGGCGACACCCGGGGGGGCGGGGGGACAGACACCTGAACACAGAGGTCCTCATGGCTGTCCCAGCTACCCAGAGCCTAGAAGGCCAGACATTCTGGAAGAAATAAGACGCCCCATCTCCTAGTGAGGGGAGGTCACGGCTTGAGAAAGATTTTAAAAAGGGAGAGGAGAGGAAATACTATTGAGTCAGACAGAACAAGCTCACAGCGTGAAAAGTGAGAGCTCTGCATTTCTCTGCTCAGATCGTTGATCTCTTTCCTTTTTACCTAGAAGAGCCCATGAGACTCCAGCTAACATGCTCCTAATACAAAAACAAAAGCCAAACTGGGCCCACACTTCCAGCCTTAATTCTTCTACTCAGATGTTTGCAACACCTAAACATTCAATGCCACTTCATCTAGGTCCCAAACCTCCACAGCCCCACAACTGACGCCAGAACAGAAAATATTTTATGTAGGAACAGGTTAGAAGGAAGTACCTGAGAAAACAAACCACCTGAACACTCAACTGAAGCCTGTTAACATCTAAGTGTTCAAAACTCAATTCGAGTTTCTACGAGTCAGCCTCTGATCGCTACGAAGGTTTAGATTCTGCCTTAAATCTCTGGCCTTGCTAGGAAATCTGTCATCGTGGCACCATCTGAAAGTCTCACCCACACAAGTACACGTGGAAATTTCAAGGCAAATGGATCGATTAGCCATACAGAAAAAAAAAACTGGGGGTCAGAGCCAATATCTTAAAAAGTTAGAATAATTTTTTTTAATTTTTCACCTATAACAAAGCATATTCAAAATTAAACAAATTTCTACCCTAGAAGAAAATTAAACAAATATTGCTTAATATGTAAAAAAAAAAGTATATTCAAATTTGGGCTTCTTTGAAAAATATTTTTATTGAAATGTAGTCACTTTACAATGTTGTGTGAGTTTTTGGCGTACAGTACAGAGATTCATACTCGTATTCAAGATACATAATCTTTCTCATATTCTTTTTCATCACAGGTTATTACAAGGTATTGAATCTAGTTCCTGTACTGTCCAGGAGGACCTTGCTGTTTATCTATTTTGTATATAGTAGTGTGTATCTGCAAACCCCAAACTCCCAATGTAGCCCTCCCCCTCCTCCCTTTCCCCTCTTGGTAACCATAAATTTGCTTCCTGTGTCTGTGAGTCTGTCTCTGTTTTGTAAATAAGCTCATTTGTCTCTTTTTTTATATTCCACATGTAAGCGATCTCATATGGTATTTTTCTTTCTCTGTCTGAGTTACTTCACTTAGGATGACATTCTCCAGGTCCAACCATGTTGCTGCAAATGGCATTATTTCATTTTTATGGCTGAGTAGTATTCCATTGTGGTGTGTTTGAGTGTGTGTGTGTGTGTGTGCGTGCCACATCTTCTTTATCCAATCATCTGTCTGTGAACATTTAGGTTGTTCCCCAAAAATGTTAGGATAATTTAGAGGTACTCAGAACTACTATTTCTCTTACAGGTCTTAACATTCTGGGGTGATGCAGGCAGCGTCCCCACGCAAGAGCAGGAACCAACCATGAAGCAAGCACACAGGCAGGCTTTGGGCCCCGCACACAAACCCCGGCTGGGGACGTGAGGAACCTGGTGCTCTTAGGTCCTCGCTTGTGGAATCCCCCCAAAGAAAAGCCAGTCCAAACAGCATCCCCGACACCATCTAATTGTGAAGGAGTTCAGAACCTAGGCTAGAGAGTTATACTGCAGCCGCCTCAAAATGAAAACCCAACACACAGCTGCCTTTTAAACAGCTCTGAAAACACACACTGACAGTAACGCAGTAACAGGTGTCAGATGCGTGTAGGAAAAAATACGACAGACGCTCAGGGGCTCCGAAAGCGGGAAAATAAGATCACGTCACAAACGTAAGACTTTTTTTTAAAGACATACAGGCACTTAAATAAAAGCAGAATTAATTATTTTTAAGGGGAAAGAAAGGAAGAAGACATCAAATCTTTGTTATCTGAGCTGCTGACAGTCAGTTCATAGTATCACAAGGTTTAGAGAACGGTTCCACTGGGAATGTCTCAGACACGCGGGAGGAATGAAACTCAGAAAGGACTGGCCAACCTCAGCTGTTGGCCTTCAGCTATGAGACTACGCTCTCTCAGAAAAAGAATTTCCACGTTTCCATTGGGAGACAAAGGCTCAGTTCCAATTTGAGGAGAAGTTTTCCCACTTCTACTTTGATGTGCAGAAAACCAGAAAGGGGGCGAACGGAGCCAATTTCGAAACAGATACGAGCACCTTTCAACACAGTGAGGCAATTATTTCAGGGTTTTCCAAATAAAAAGTTAATTCCAGATCTGGGTATTATTCGAGAAACTTAATCTAATAAATTCTATGGTTATCAGGCAATCTGTATTTCTGTCATTACCTGGTCTCACCAAAATGCAAAGATATATCTTGTAACTTTTGGACAAAGGTCAAATCTCCCACTGAGTAAAAGATCACTTTTTCACATGAATTCACCAGAGCAAACATTTAGGATTCAGAGAGCTGAGCTGTCCTTATAAAATTTGCTGTTATGTAAATTGTGAAATCCTTTTTTAAAAGAAATTATCTTTTTAAAATAAATTCTTTGCAGGGAGGGTATAGCTCAGTGGTAGAACGCATGCTTAGCATGCACGAGGTCCTGGGTTCAAACCCGAGTACCTCCATTAAAAAAAAATTTTTCTTAATAAACTCTATCACTTAAGTAGTTAGAAAAAGATGTATTTATACATTCATGGTATAAATATCATGAATTAAAGATAAATATTATGAATTAAAGATAAAATTCAATCAAGGACTGGTTTTGCTTTGTTTGAGATTTCCTCAAAGGAGAAAAACTTCAGGGTCAATTCATGTGCCTGCAATATCTTCCATGTTACACACTTTTCTGAAAGATGAGCTCCAAGTTTTCGAAAGGGTCTTGGGAAAGGGCATCTGGGTACACGGGAGAGAATTCTATTTCCCCACCTCCCTTGCAGTAGCAGAAACACACGGCCGGTTCTCATCAAGAGGTTCTGAGCAGAAGTCTCTTCTGAGCTGCAGGGTCCACCTGCTGATTCAAGATCCCCCAGACCTGCTTACCCCCTATAAGGACAGACCTTGAAGCATCACGAGGAGGTGGTGGCCCTATTAGAAAATGTGGGTGACTCATGCAACAGAGCATCCTATGACTCAGCTGAAATAGTGTGATCGATTTATAAGCATTTGTTGTGTTAAGTCACTGAGATTTTGAAGAGACCTGTCACTTTACTATAACCCCACCTGCTTTGCCTAGTACTTGGAACCAAACTTTGCACAACTTCCAAGCCGCTAATGCTTATTAATAGGACTGCAAATCCCAGGAACAGGCAGGATGTGAGGTCTGCAACGCTGCCCCAGTGTTTTCTGAATGTTTTCAGGAAGCTATTGTTCGACGCATCAAAAGGCCAAATGGGTGCAGAAAACAAAATCGCACCTGAATCAAGATCCCCATTATGATCCGCTGAGCTCTGGTGTTTCTCCAAGGGTGAGGACGAAGGGTCTTGCATACTGGAAACTGACACGCTGCTCTCCATCCTTAATGGGTAAGGGTCCTCTTCTCTTAATTCATCCTGCGGGAAGAGCTACCTAAAGGCAACCAACAACAGAACAGAAATCAGAGCACTTGACTCGAGTGCACCCATTTTTAAACTCTCCCCAAACGGGGTCCCCTCAGAGCTGCTGCCATTTCACGACAACATGCAGGTAACAAAAAACACAAGGAAGGAAGGTTAAAGTGTGCATAGGCACACGAGGTCAACACCAAGGTCACAGCACAGCAAAACCACCCACTTTCCACAGATCACCGTCACCACTTATCTCCAATAAGGAGAATCTACATTTCAATTCCCAAGCCACCTCGGCAGCACTGGCAGGACACTGCACCACTCAGCTGTTTCCCAGCCACTTCCTCCTCTCGCTGGATGCAGTGAGGCAGGAATCCGCACCCCCACCCCCTCCAGCAGCCCCCGACACACATAAGACAGCTGGTGTCTCAAAGATGATTTGTTACCAAAGCCAGTTTAAGCATCAGCGCTTGCATGTGATGTGTTTTTTGACCAACTGGACTTGCCCTGTCCTAACATAGCTTGTTAACTCCGACAGGGCTCGGGGGGGGGGGGGAACAGGTGAGTGGCAGCTGATTCTCTCAAAGTCCTACAATCCAGTTCACATCCATCACAGCCCATGAAACACCTGGCGCAGTCACAACTCAGGGTCAGCCACTCACTCAGACACAGCCACCTGCGGGCTCTCCATCTCCCATTCACTCAGCACTCGCTCTTCAATCAGCAAAGAGGCAAGGATCAACGAAGAAGAGAAAGGATAGTGTATCTTTCCCTATAAATGGAATCCTGCATCATTCACATACAGGAAGGTACTTTTTAAGAATACTACGCCTTTCTTTTTTTTTTAACAATTTTTTTGTTTGGTTAGTGTTGGTTTACGATGCTGTGTTAATCCCTGTATACACTTTAATGCCTGTCTCCTTTGCTCTCAGGACTGTTCTATAGAGCTACATGTCTTTTCTGATATGAATGTGCCATTCATTCCGTTCATAGGTTTGAATATGCCATTCATTCAATCTGTTGGAAGGCTTGTAAGCATGTATCAGAAACTATTAATCCCTTCTTTTAATAATAGACATTTGGGTTCGTTCGTGTTGTGCTATTATGAATCGGTATTTTTGAGTATTTATTTTTTCTAAATATCTGATTTCACTGACCCTGTGTGATGAACACATGCAAGCATTGAGACTGGGTAAGAGGTATGCTGAATACTCCTTGCCTTCACTTTGAGTATTTTCTTTTTTTTTAACTACACCTTTCTTAACACACACACAGGCACACACACACACACCACTTTTGGCGCTATTCGGTTGACTTTCCTGGAAAATACTGTGAATTTTTACAACGAAATTTGTCAAAAACTAAGAGGTTCACAAAAGTGTGTTAGTTACTTGTGCAACAGCAGGAAAAAAAAAAAAAAGGCTGAAAACTCCTGCTCCAAGAAGAGGCTGGAAACCTACCAGGTACGCAGGCGGCTAGTGATGGGGCTAGGAGCCTGGACACCCCAGCTCAGAATCCTGGGAGTGCCAGACAGACAGACAGACAGACAGATGGGGAAGACTGAACAGAAACAGACTAAAAGCAGGAACGTGCTTGTGGTCTGAATTAAGGCAGCGGGGCACAGAAGAAAGCAAGCAGTTTACGACTGAAAGGTATGACCCACCACAGAACGTGGTGACAACAACCCGAGAACCTCCCAGGATCAACAAACCGCCGTCTTCTCCCAGGATGTCCTCACGGTCCTGGAATAAACCACCTCCCTTTCCACAGCCAGCTCGCGGCAACCAACGGAACCTACGCGGTGCCGATGGAAATAAATAATTTGGAGAGAAAGTATGTGATACATGAGAATGACAAACTATTTCACAGAAATCTACTTCCAGTGAATTTAAGCAGCAGATCTTACAGGCGACAACTGATCTACAGATTTGGGAAATAAAAACAGGATTTTAAACTACAACACCCTAACCACCTCCTCCGCCCCAAAAGGCTACTTTTCAAAGTCTATTTCCTTTTGATTCTTAAAATATATATGGTTTCGAGACCAAAGGTGAAAGTGTCTTTTAATGAAAACATCCTTTTTCCAAAGACAAGTTCAGAAGGCTGGGATTTTCAAGGGTAACTTCCTGTTTCTGACAATACACTTTGTGATCTTCTGTAAAGTTAATTCTACTCCAAGTGGCTCCTCCTGTCTCTAAAGATGCTGAAGGCAGAAGTCAAGTAAGAAGGCTTGACTTGATGCAATCAATGGTCCTCTTCAAATCTAACACTCTACGACTCAACCAGGGTTTTTTAAAGTGCTGTCTATTTTTCGCATTCAGATTGCCCATTGATTTGAGCCAAATTTAATACAATACACACTCACCCCTCCACCTGCCTCCTCCTATCACTTGGGGAGTATTCCAGGAACATAGGTAATTAAGCAAAGCCTTGTTAGGAAGGAAGTGGGTGGGTGGGTAGGGGACAGTCACTGGACACTGTTCTAAAATTAGTCAGAAACTATTGGGGGCTTTTTATCTATTTTAAATTATCTCTAGACCAGCAAGGTCTAACTGAACTTTCTATCCCTGCAAAGCCCAATACGGTGATCACACACGGCCACCGAGCCCTTAAAATGTAGCTGCTGTTGACTGAGGGAGGGTCTCAGTTTTAATTAATTTTAATTTATTATTCACTGAAGTACAGTTGATTTATAATATCAGTTTCAGGTGCACAACATAGTCACTATTTTTATAGATGACACTCCATTCAAAGTTCCTATAAAACACTGGCAATGTTGCCGAAAACCTCCCTGTAGCTTAGTTTTATCCACAGTGGTTTGTACCCCTTGATCCTCGAACCCTCTCCTGCCTTCATATCGTGTTAATGAAGCCACCTTAGCACTAGAAATCATTCTTACCTCCGTTTATCGCAAGGCGAAGCCCACAGGGGCAAACCTAGGACTCACTCCAGTGAGCGTTACTGCAAATGGGATAAAAGAAATATTGAACTTCTTCTAAAGCTGCCCAATTATCCAGCCCTTTTAAAGGTGATCTGCCCTAAAAATAGTTCAAGAAACGGGCAATTTTACTACCTCTTAATATACTTAGTATATTTTCAAGCTTGCTACTCTGAAACGGGAGAGAGGTCTGCATTGTTGTTTTTCACGTGACTCAGAAGAGAGACGATTCTCCAGGCTGAAAATCAAAAGCGAAGGCCGAAACTAAAAGCTTATGAGATTCCAGACATGCTCTAGCTGCCCTCGGAAATCCAGCATCTCTAAATCACAGAGGAAACGGCCTCCGTTCACACCCCAGGAATTTCAAAATGAGCGCAGGACACCCGAGTCTCAGCGAAGACTTTTCAAAATATTTCCATCAAAATGGAAAACCTCAGAGGATTCTGAAAGGTCCACAATCACATTTTTGGCCCAAAACTTCATCTCTGGAAAACCTCTGCTTCCATCTCCTTAAGAATCCACAGGCAAACATCAGGCTGGGTCACAGGAGCATTTGCAAGGACTAAGTTTGTAAATGGCTTTGAAGATGAAATGCGGTGTTAAGCGCCCGGGCGCGGTTATCAAGGGAAGGTTCCTTCTGTGCATGTGGCCGAGTCACCGAGTCACCCAGATCGCTGTGCTAACAAGGCATGCCCACGCCTACTGGCCAACACTCGGCCTTTCTAAGAGACAGGTCCCGCGTGATTCCATCGCCAAGGGAGATGAACTGGTTCTTTGGGGCAGGAGCTCACGGGATTTTGCCATTTGTCATCCGCCGTCCGCCCAGAGCTTGATTCTCCCTGATCAGGACCGCGATCTACCGGCCACTTTTCAACCAGGCTTCGTCTGTTTTCGCTCTAAGTAGATGGAAAGCTGACACGAACGGCTGCCCCGGCATCGGAAATGCTCATCTTTCAGACTCGGGTCACACCTCCGCAAACACCAGGGCTTGCATTGCGTCTGCTAATACAGGGTCTGACTGTCCCCTCTTAGCCTTCCCATCAAACAGCAAGTGCCCTCCTTGAGGGTAAAACCAGGCAAAGAAAAGTAACAGACCCCCAGGTTACTTCGCTCAAGAGAAGACAAAACTGCATCAAATTGCAGACTAGCCTCCCCATGCTGAAAGTTCACTTACTTATTAACGCGTTACCTACAAATTACTTACTTACCATCAAGAAGAGGGGGAGGGTGCAGCTCAGTGGTAGAGTGTATGCTTAGCATGCATGAGACCCTGGGTTCGATCCCCAGTACCTCCATTATAAATAAAAGAAAGAAAGAAACCTAGTTACTTCCTCCCCCAAAAAAACTTAAAAAAAAAGATGAGGCTTTGAAATACCCAATTAAACCTACTATACAATCAGTCTTTGCATCAAGAAGGTAGCCACATAGGGTCACTTAGACCAGAAACTTACTTCCAAGCCACAAAAGTAAACACCATCCTTAGGTCAGCATACGACTGTGAAATATTTGAAACAGAAGAGCCTGGTCACAGAGTCTCAGCAAAGAGGCACCACGTTTAGAATTAGCACAGACATTTGGTGCTAACACCTTGGACAAACTCCAAACACAGGCTTTCCCTGTCACCTACAAATATTCAGAGGAATGAATTAGAGCCTCAATCCAAGCTTGTAACAAAGCTAAGGAACCTCATATTCTGCATCCAGGAGATCTGTGTCTCACACGACACACCTGCGCACACGAGTCATTTTTGGTAAAGTAGCCCATGTGCTGTATGAACAGTCACAAGAACTCAAGAAGTAAAGAAATCTTACAAGGGACCCCTCTGCAAGCTAGACGTGCGTAGACAAGGTCTAACCATCAGCGCCCAGTCTTCTGAGGGGACTTTATGAATGGATGACTTCAAGCAGGACAGGTGCACAACGGAGATGCTTCCGAGATGCCACACAGTCATCCCGCCACCAGCTAAGACACCGACCATGAGAAGTACCGATTCGACTCTGATCTGGACTCCACAAGCCCATCGCTGAAGAATGCAGCTAAGAGTCTCCCCAGCCTGCCATCGAGCTGGGGATTCGTGAACCAAC